TATATTATGCTACTACCATTTATCATACTGCACATAAGTCACAGGAAAAACTAAACTATTAGTTATTATTATTAAACTGCAAACGTGAAGAAACATGTAGCACGTCAAAAACGAAACTTAACCGAAACTGGTTCGGTGGATTGGACCCGGTGTTACACCATACTCTGTGACCTGCAACAGTGCAACACTGCCCCCTACGGTCATACGGTGGTCACATAATATGACGTCACTACGGATACTCGATGTTAAATTTTTAACCTAGATAGATGTCCTAGCAATCGATGTGTAGATTACTCGAGTACTCTGTTAATGCCCTAATAAAAAAAAAAATAATAATAAAAAAAAATATATATATATATAAACCCTTCCCACACTCTTGCAATATTCTAAACAATGTTTCTAAACTCTAAACCGCGATAGACGAGGGACTACTGTATATTTTTTTGTCTGGCTCTCGCTCGAGGTGGCTGCCTCCTGCCTTTCCTCCCCTGTTTTTCTATCCGCCTGCTTCGCTCTCTGCGTGTCTGAAGTGCCTGGTACACATCTCCCAAACATAAATTAAGATTATGGATCTGGTGACCTGGACTTTCAGTGCGATCGACAAAATTTTTTCAACAAAACGACAGAGTCCTGGAGAACCTGCTTGTCCAGCTGAGACTCACGCTTTGGGGAGTGTGGCAGCTGATCTGCTTCTCAGTCCTGTCTCAGGAGGACGCTGAAGATGTTTATATATTTGGATTTATGTTAGCAGGGACTCTGCTTTTTGGCATCGGCGGGACTCTGTTTTATTGACTTTTAAAGAAGACATCAGCAGCATCTTCGGCCATGATGCCAAAGGGTCCGAGTCAGTATGAAGGTTTGGTCCGTGCTGTGAGTACTCAAAATCAGCTGATTTACAAGCTGAACCATAAGATGGAGGCAATTTCTGAGAATTGCAGGCCACCTGCGGCTTCTGGGACTCACCAGCATGGTGGGATCAACCTTGAAGGAGGCTCATAACATGGACCAGTGGAATGGATTCCCAGGCTATTTCAAACCAGAAAGGTCCAGAAGGACTCAAGGCTGATGAAAAAAATCTGTCTGCCTGAAGAAAATCAACAATCAAACCTTATCAGAATTTGACTCTCCGTTCGGCCTCGGAGACGGGCCGACTATCAAATTTCTCCTGGGTCATGCATGGGTAACCAGGGATAAAAAGCTTCATCTATCGCCCCCCCGAGAACTTCTGTGCATGCTTATCAGAACTGCTGGCTGAAACAACATCATTAGAACTGTGGCCGATCTGAAAAACGCTCATGGACAAATCTCAACACCTTGACATCAAATGCATATGTAATCTTGTTTTAATTGTGCTGCTGGTAGAGTTTTTTATGTCTCAAGTCATGTCTTGATAGATAAGATGTGAAAGGTCTTTTTTGTAATACCACTATCTATCCTTATGGCTCGTCCCTTATTCCTATCTAAAAGTATTATTCTGAATAAGGATAAGAAGGCCGCACTTATAGTAGCATCTTCGTGTACTCCGTCCATCTTTCGGACGACTGCATGTGCATGTTCTCGTTGTATCTCGGTGCAATGATAATAAAGCTTATTCTGATTCTGATATGGTCTTTGTGTTTGTTATTTTTTTTTTTTTATTGTTTTATGTGCAGCACTTTGGCCAGCAGCTGGTGTTTTTAAATGTGCTGTATAAATAACTTTGATTTGATTTGACACACACTCTTAAAAGTCTTCCACACAGTCGCATTAAAACCTTGTAGGGAAAGCCTTTTTCTCTCCAAGTATACAATGTTCACCTTTTCACATCGGCGATCACAACTCACTTTCATTGTGCTCTAGGTAATTTTTATGTCTGTCATGTCTAGTTTATTGTTTGCTTGACTTGCAAATCAGGGGAAGAAACAGAGAAAACATGTTTTTTTCACGCTCCCTTTGTTATTTTTAGGAGGTTATCGAAGTTTGGACAAGCCACATCCCAGAGGAGAGATACTCATCGGTGGACTCAATGTAACCATGGGTTACTACAAGAGTGAGGCTAAAAACCAAGAGGACTACTTTGTAGATGAGAACAACCAGCGGTGGTTCTGTACCGGAGACATCGGAGAAATTCACGAAGACGGTTGCCTCAAGATTATTGGTGAGAAAAACACAAGAGCAATGTGCAGATGATCAAAATGATAAACACCACGCCTTGTATCCCTGGATTTCTTCCAGACAACCTCTCTGCTTCACTTTTCATTTATCACATCAGCAGAAAAGCTTTTTGCTAATCAGATTTTATTAATCTTCCTAAACTTACCCCCACAGTGCTGTTTATACTTCAGTGAGCCAACCCCCTCAGCTCCACTCTTATCTAGATGACACTGATCACATACACTCAGTTTCATCCTCCCCATGCACACACACACACTTCCTTCCTTCCATTTAACGATGTGCCCACACATGGATGTGCACGGGTTGTTAAATCTGCTGTGTTTTCAGATCGTAAGAAGGACCTGGTGAAGCTGCAAGCAGGGGAGTACGTCTCTCTGGGAAAGGTGGAGGCTGTGTTGAGGAACTGTCCTCTGGTGGACAACATTTGTGTCTATGCCAACAGGTGTGTGGGGGGCACTGTTCAGAAAGTTATCTGATCCAAATGTATCTAAACTATAATGCTGTTGTAATTAAAGGGGGGTTCACGTTACATACCAGGACAAAAAATATTTTAGGTCTTAAAAAGTGAATAAACAATTAAATATTCTAATAATTCATGTTGCATGTGTCACTGTCCATGAAGGGGTTGAACACAGATGCAGACAGACACAATGCAATCGTGTAAAATAAAACGTTGGTTACGTATTGTAACCCCAGATTCTATGAGTATAGGCGTAGCCCTTTAAGAGCTGTCACTAGTGGGCTTATCCCATCATGCAAAGCATCGCACTGAAAAAATTAGTCCACGCCCACCTTTTGTGTGGGCCCCACCCGGTCCGTATAAATTACGTTAAGAGCGGGTAATCGGCTCCCAAATAGCTTTTTCTTCAGCCATTTAAGAGCCAGTGAGGCCCGACGCTTAAAGAGCTACGCCTATACTCATAGAATCTGGGGTTACAATACGTAACCAATGTTCTATTTCATATAGGCTTCGCCCTATAAATCTGCTTTGCCCTTAACCCACTAGCGACAGCTCTTAGTCTCCGCCTCACTGGGTCCATTCGAATACCATAAGAAGCGCCCGCTTGCCCAAAAAAACATCTTGTCACTCAGCTCTCCATATGCGTAAATACGCATTGCGTAATTTTGCGCACCATGCACAGACACGCATTGCGTAATTTACGCGTTCCGAGTGCATGAACGTCCCAGAAAGGTTTTCAACAGAAAGGAGGAGAGGCTGAAAAAGGCCGTGAACAGAGCAGATCCATGGCTCTTCAATATGAACAGATTAATAATAAATGAACTGATTATTAATCAAATGAACTGATTGATGACAGAAGTCATGAACTGATTAATAACCATAGAACAAGAACAACAGTCATAACCTGTGACTGAGAACAACATCTCACACTGTAAATGCATGCAGTCAGATGTGAGTTTAAACGAGATTCCATGAAACAACAATATTCATTCTGTTAAGGCACTAAGGACAGAATGTGTCATGGAATGAGTCGTCACATCACGTAAATAAAAGCGAATAAATGAATAGGGTGTTGACCACGCGGCCGCAGTGCAAATATCCTGCATTGACATACCATCATGCAAAGCAGTCGAAGATGCGATACCTCTGGTCGAGTGCACCCTGAGGTTGTCAGGAGGCTCTAAATCTGATGCTCCGTAGGCTTCAGAAATGGCCTCACACAGCCAGTGTGACAGGCGCTGGGTGGATAACGGGCGACCTGCAAGTGCGTCTCTATAGTGCACAAACAAATGTTGAGTCTGACACAATGCCGCCGTGCGTGTTACGTAGCACGTCAGCACACATACAGGGCAGAGAAGATGGAAAGATGCTTCTTCTTCTGATTGTGGTGAGGAGGGAAAAAAATCCCTCCAACGATATCGCTCTTGATTTAAAAGAGCTCGTGATATTTTAGGCATAAACGCTGGATTAGGCCTCAGATCAGCTGAGCTGCCATCAGCCTGAATTCTGAGGCATGGCGGAGTGACAGAGAGGGCAGATAAATCACTCACCCTCTTAAAGGATGTTAAAGCCAACAGCAGGGCTGTTGTAAGAGACAAGAATTTAATCGGAACCTGATCTAGTGGCTCGAATGGAGCTTTGATCAGGGCTCACAGGACCAGCGTTAAATCCCATTGTGGAGCAAGTGGGCGTGAAAACAGGCCTGGGTCTCTGTACACCTTTTCAAAAACGCTTCATCAGCGGATGATTAAAAGCTGTTCTGTCCCCGAAACCTTCGTGACAAGAGGAGATGGCTGCAGCGTACGTTTTAATCGTGCTGAATGCCAGATTTCTGTCCATCAGCTGCTGCATAAAGGACAGCATGCCACCTAGTGGACATGAGGTGGCCTCTACACCTTTCTCCGTACAGCAACGCTGAAAAGCTGTCCACTTTGATGTGTACAGCGCTGTGGTGGATGCAGCACGTGAATCCTGGATCGTATGCACTACATCTTGAGAGAGACCCATCCTCTCTAAGCGGATCTGCTCAGCGGCCAGACCCAAAGGTGCTGGCCTATTTCTGGGTAACTCCTGATCGCTCCTCCCGCCTGGAGGAGAGCATCCTCCCTCCACGTCAATTTCCATGGGCACCCCGATAACAGGTGTCGTAGAACTGGGAACCATGGGGCGTTCACGCACTCGAGAGCCACCAGGAGAGCTGTCAGAACTCGGTTCAGAAAACCGTGATATCAGAGGGAGTGGGGGAAAAGCGAAAAGAAGCATTTTGGGCCATGAGCTGTGAGCGAACGCGTCCACCCCTAGTGGTGGTTAGTCCCGCGGGCTCAATGAGAACCATAGTTGACACTGAGCGTTCTCTCGTGTTGCAAACAGGACCACAGCCGCTTTGTTAAATTTCAGCCACGTCTGAGCCATCAGCTCTGGATAGAGGGTCCAGTCCCCGTGATGCGGACCGCCCCTGGACATCACATCTGCCCCACTGTTCAGAACACTGGGGATGTACACTGCTCTGATGGAGAGCAAATTTTGGTGTGCCCAAAACAGCAGCTGTCTCACAATGTGTAACATTTGGGCTGAGCGTGCACCCCCCCTGCCGGTTATGTATGCAGCAGTCACTCGTTGTCTGTGTGAATCAACACATGTTGATTCTGTAGCACAGAGGCAAAGTGTTGAATCACATTCAAAATCGTGACACTCCAAAAACATTTATATGAGTTGCTGTGTGGGGTGGCCACAGCGCCCCCACAGCTCGAGACATGCATGTGCCTTCCCAACCTGACAGGGACGCGTCAGTGAAGACTGAAACGTGTGATGTAGGTCTGCTGATGGGAACTCCCTCCGACATAACAAAAGGGTTTCCCAGTGTCTCAGGTCGATTCTCACGGAGGGGGGCACAGCAATCAACCGTCTCTTCTTTCTCACCGGGTCCACACGGAAATGAGCGGACCACCTCTGGAGGCGTCGCACTGTGTGAGCAGACGACATGTCCTTAATAACTTCATGACGGAAACAGCTGTTATCACTCTGCCGGTTTCAGAATTCTCCTCCCTGCTCTGTGTAGCAGCTGCAGAGCCAACTCGACGCATTTTGAATGGAAATGTTGTCTCACAGTTGAAAATTGACAAATCTAAGACGAGTCTCATCCCTCCGGTCTGTTTGGGACCAGGAAGTGACGAGAGTAGCACCCTGTGTTTTCCTCTCCTTCTGGAACCCTGGAAATTAAATTTTTT